GACAGATTCCTGACCCAAAGAATTTTTAATCTAAAAGGCCCATGATGGTCGGAACAATGAACAGATTAGGTGGATTTTATATCTATATTTGAAGAAAGTAAGTCTCAAGAGGTCTTCTAATCCAGCCATCTATGCTGAGGCAGGACCAACTACACCTAGACCATCACTGACACACATTTGTCCAGCCTGTTCTTAAAAACTTCTAGTGACAGAGATTCCATACTCTCCTTTAGCCTATTCTATTAACAACCTTATAGTTAATATCTAAACTAAACCTCCCTTGCTGCAGGTAAAGTTAATTACTTCTTATCCTACCTGAGTGAACATGGAGAATAATTGATCATCAGTCTCCTTATGACAGCTCTTAACGTAGTTGAGGACTTATCAGATTCCTCCTCAATCTTCTTTTCTCAAGACTAAACATACTACTTTTTTAACCTTTCCTCATATGTTTTGTAAATTTTTTATTATTGCTGTTACTCTCCTCTGGACTCTTTCCAATTTGTCCATATCTTTCTTAAAATGTGGCACCCAAAACTGGACACAATACTCTTGCTGAGGCCTTACCCTTGCCCAAAAGAGCCGGACAATTACCTCCTGAACCCTATATATGGCTAGGGTGACCGTATTTCCCAAAGGGGAAAATGAGACACCAAGCGGGGCTAGTCCGAACCTTTTCCCCCCTTCCCCCCACGCACAGGCCTGGCCCGAGCCGCTCATTCGAGACACCCTCCCTGCATGGGGCTGGCGTCACTGCAACCTGTCAGCAGCATGGATGCATGTCCTCTGGAATAGTGGTTGAAGCATCAAGGGATATATGAATCTTTAATGCATCGGGCATGTAAATACCTTGCGACAACGGCTACAACAGTGCTATGCAAATGCCTGTTCTCACTTTCAGGTGACATTGTGAACAAGAAGCAGGCAGCAATATCTCCTGCATATGTAAACAAACTTGTTTGTCAGCGATTGGCTGAACAAGGAATAGGACTGAGTGGACATGTAGACTTTAAAGTTTTACATTGTATTGTTTTTGAATGCAGGGGTTTTTTTGTATATAATTCTACACTTGTAAGTTCAACTTTCATGAAAAAGATTACACTACAATATTTGAAAAATACTATCTCTTGATTTTTACAGCACAAATATTTGTGATCAGAAATAAATATAAAGTGACTACTATACACTTTGTATTCTGTGTTGTAATTGAAATAAATATATTTGAAAACATAGCAAACATCCAAAAATATTTAAATAAATGGTATTCTATTATTAACAGTGCAATTAATCCAAATTAATAGCTTGACAGGCCTCACACACACACACACCACATCCTCACAAATAATATGAATACATATAATGTATTATTTGTAATATCGATTTGTATAATGCAGTATAAATGACTGTAGAGAGTATTATGTATTTATTTAAAATATATACTGTCCTTTTTGCTTGGAAAAATGCCTCTCTCCCAAACTACCTTTTCATATTGATATAATACAACTGCCTAACAATTCTAATTATTTTACATTTCAAAGAAACTTGAGTTTTCCCTAACGTAACATTAGCAGCATTATATTAAGGGAAATTCTTTGTATTAATACGTTTGGGATTGGAGTACCTCAATTTTAAAATCAACAAAGCCTTATATAGAGATTAGTATTCACAAATGATTTCCTAAAACAGAATTTCAAGCATTTTTGTTAGCCCAGAAATATGAAAGTTCAAGTAGGAATAAGTACATCTCAGGAATAAATTGCCAAATGTATTTGAAAACAAAGTCATTATAACATCCTCTAAGCAGGGCTAGACAAAGCAGTGGTGAAAACACCACTGCACTGTCTATACTACAACCTCAACTATTGCAGAAAAACGCTTCCAAACATTCCTATGGTGGAGACACCACAGCACAGATCCAGGTTCAGATCTGTCTTTGCCACTTGAATCTCTTCTCTATATCACAGACTGAATAATGCTAATGCTTTGCTATTTTGGGAAGTTCACTGTGTGTCCAGATCTCACACCCCCAAGCTTGGGAATATTTCTGCAGCCGCTGACTGACACATGGAGGTGGATCCAGAGTTCCACTCTGGGATTTTGCTTCAGGTCCATCTCTAAAATAAATCCAACAGGGCAGGTTATGAGGTGAAACAATATCACTTTATTTACATATGCCAACAAGAAAATCTAATGAAGTGGGTGGGGAAAGTAAAAAAACAGGAACATTATTAAATATTTTTTAAAAATCAAGACCATATGAACAGGAGAAAAAACCTTTTAAATATGTAAACATGGAGCGAGATCTCTACGAAGTGGAAAGAACATGTGATTGACATTGCAGATTGTTATCCTTTGGCTATGACCATGGAAGAAAAACAATACGCTTGAGTTATCTGTATTTAGGAACTTGCTCTCTCTGGCCCAGTAATTAACCCTTTCCTAATTTTCACTTGAGTTTTTACATCATTATTGGGTCTGCTCCTGCAATTGGATCCACTAGAAAGACACTGCACAAATGTGGAGCTTAACTGACTTCAGTGGAGCTCTCCACAGAACAGGGTCTGAGCTAATGTATCCAAGTAACTGCTGGATCAGGACCATTATCATCACTTAGATAGTGCTAAGACCCAAAACACACCAAGTACTTGCCAAAGGCAGAGGAAGACACAGTATCGACCCTGAAGAACTTTCAATTTAAAAAGACAAAAACACATGAAGAGTGTGGGAATGGAATATAGCATAAAAGCAAAGGAAATGTAAGGGTACATCTACACATTAAAATAAACCAACCCTGCAACAGCAAGTCTCAGTGCCTGGGGCTACTTACTGGGGCTTGCACTGCGGGTCTAAAAATAGCAGTGTCGATATTTGAACTCAGTCTGGAGCCTGGGTTCCCAGAGCTGGGTTTCAGAGCCTCGGCTCCAGCCCAAGCCTGAACATCTACACTGCTATTTTTTGTCCCACCGCGTGAGCCCTGCAAACCCAGTGCCATGACCTCGGTCTGATCCTCACTGCCGCAGGGGTCTTTTTTTCCTTTGTAGATTACCCAGAGTGAGAACGTGTACACATATGGTTAGTTCCATGGATTTTATTTTTAATTAAGGTTTTGTGGGTATTTGCTTCAAGTTGGCTTTGTAGAGACACAAGCTCCTTTCAATCCTTAAACTGCTGGACGGGTTATCATCAGCAGGGATGGACCCCTCATATCCTCCACATCTTAAGGACATTTTACATTAAGACACCATTTTCCTCCATTCACTGCCCAACCAGCTTGCAATGGTCTATGCAGCCCAGCCTACTCCTGAGAAAAAGTGTCATTTTTACAGGTCTGCATCTGCTCCTACTCCCACTTGGGAGTATATTAAAATAGAACTACTCTCTAAGGGTGTGTCTACACTTGGAGCTCAAGATGTGATTCCAGCTTGAGGAGACTTACTCCTGCTAGCTCTCAGCATAGCCATGACAGAGTGAGTGGCAGGACAGGCTAGCCACTCTGAGTGAATGCCCAGAGTCTTGGATGGGCATGCAGTGGGGGAAGCTCACCTATCCTGCAACTGCAGTATTTTATTTTGAGCACTCTAGGTTGATGAGAACTAGTGTGAATACATCGACTCGAGCTGGGAATCGTACCCTCCCCTCCTCCAGTTTGAAGTGTAGACATAGCCTATGATGCCAATTCCTCCAAAATGGCCTTAACTCTCATTTTATACTCTAATCCAGGTAGTGTGTAAACTAAGAAAGTTACTTATACGTAAAACCAAAAACTGAAATCTAGTTGTTTTTGATTTACTTGTCAAGATCTAAGTTCACATTCTATGCTACTTGTATTTACAAATCTTAGAAAAATAAACCAATAGCAGATTTTGTTCTTTTCACCTATCCAATCTGACAGGATTCACACTCACCACCCTCCCTAGCCCAGCTCCTTCTTCCACACCTGGGAGAACAATGAGGCCTGGCAGCCTGCCACAAAGGCCAGTTGACTCAGGCTTTTTCAGACCAAAGGGGAGTGAACATATCCAGCCACTGGCTTCATTCCTCCTTTGGGCTGCTCTGTCAAAGGCTGCTGTAGCACACAAGGAGAGACCAATCTCTCAGGTAGCCAAGAGACACATTTAGGGCTTGATAGGTCAAACCCAATACCTTGAATTGCGCCCAGAAGCAATTGCAAGTCTGCTTATATCACGGAACACAAGTGTGTTCCAGATGAGGTTATCATGAACAGAGAGCTTAGTATGTACAAATATTTTCCAGTTCACTTTTAACTTTAGTTCTGCACTAATTAATTCAGTACAGCTCTAACTGCTTAATTTTTGAGGGAGCTGCAGTAAGTCCCATTGGCTGTGGCACTAAGGGGCTCTCCTTTCTTACCAAGAATTTCCCACTAATACGGATATATTTCCTGCCCTACCATTAAATAGAACAAAGATAATTTTTTAAAAAAAGAGTGTGCACTACCCTAAATTACCTAATTGTACATAGAGGCAAGTGGGGAGGTGATATCTGTTATTGGACCAATGTCCATCAGTGAGCGAGACAAGCTTTAGAGCTTCACAGAGCTCTTCTTCAGGTCTGGGAAAGGTAACCAGACTGTGACAGCTAAATAGAAGGTGGGACAGATTGTTAAGCAGAAGGGGTTAACACGTGTTGCAAGAAACCACTTGAAATGAAATGGGCAATTAACACATATACCACATAATTGTACATACACATCTATTCATATTAAAAATGTAACATTCATCAATATTTACCATACAAAGATGCCAAACAATTTTCCTTTCTCTGGAACAGGCAATAACTGGTAAATGTTGACTTTTTAAGATAGCAAGCACTATACGGTCAAGCTGTTAGCATTCAGCATTGCCTGGGGGAGATTCTGATTCATGCAAAATTAAGAGTGACAGAGGTGGTTTTGTGCTGCAGATCTCATGCATTTAGCTTCCAGGGGGTTGCTATGGTGAAGTATCTATCACGCTTGTGCACTCTTCAATACCTGGTTAGTCATTACTAGTTTCACAGGAGATGCCAGCTACAGGGAAAAAACAGTAATGCTGGCTTCTGTGGACTGGAACAGGGTGCAGATTAGAACAGATCCAATTCTTTGTAACCTGGATTTCTTGGTGAGTATTATTTGGCAGTATCAGAGTTAGTCCTTCAATGTCTTTTCTGACTAGGAGGCAATAGATTTATAAGGTTAGAGAACCCTTACATGAGCAAGGGATGCATTGCTAAACTGCAGGTGCTAAATAAACCTTGAGCAGTTCAAGAAAGAATTGAAAAACAGTGCCCTATTCCATTTTCTCTAAGAGTTAATAAGTTTCATAATAGTGGTGATGCTTGTTTCTCCAGTTCTCTACACATATGCTAATGTGATTTTTTTTAAATCCAAATGATAAACAACTAGGTAATTTGATATCATATATAACAGCACTGGCAAAAAGGCATAAAGTTTAAACCAAGAGTCTGGGGAACACACAAGGTTTACGTAATAAAAGTAAAGTATTTTCAGAGTGCATACTGTCCTCTTGTGTACAACAGAAGTATTACCATTTGTAAGGCAATTTCTACTACACATTTAAAAAAAAAAACAGATTTTATTTGTCATCCAATACTTTGAAATAAACTCACTAATGTCTTACAAAATGATTTCCACATATTCAGATTTCCAAAACATGTACCTTCGGAGCCCAAATTTTCCATTCGCGATCTTATCTTCTGTAGGATGACTTTAAAAAAATTGAGTGAAACTCAATGATTGAGTGAATAAATATTCTACGCTCCTCCATTTGGGATTTGTAATAGTTAAAATTAATTTTGCACCTCTGATCTATTGTATTTGGCTGTATGAAGACATGACGCCATCAGTTTTATATATTCACTTCACATTTGGTATATTTTACTCATAAGTATAAATTTCTACCTTTTAAAAGCAAATTAAGGAAGCCAGATATTCTGATGCACATTTCTGAGACAAGTTCCATAGTAGCAGAATCACACTACATAGGGCTCTGACTCTTATTAGGACTACTATAATAGTATACTTGCAGACCTTGCTTTGGTTCAAGAGATTTTATATTTTCCAAAAGTAATTTTAAGGCAATAAGAAATTTGTATGTCTTCTAAGCAACATTTGGCTACAAGAGATTCAATTTTTATGGTCCTTGGAGATTTGCATATTCTTGCAAAAAATTCAGTGAGTTCTAAAGGCTGAATAATAAAATCTTCAGTAACTAAGTGTTGTAATAAAAAGTTATTCCATGGATAGGGGAAAAAACCAGCTACGAACACAATGTTTGCATTGCACACTAAAGCACAGCATGATATTGCTGAAATAGATTCTTTATTTCTGAAACATTCCAAAACAGCAGTATACACAGTTGTAATCAAATATTCAATCATATGCCATTATAAGAAAGCATTGATTAGTGCAATTGGATTTTGTAAAAGGTCTATCAAAAAGATTTATTTGCATTAAAACTCATTCATTTCCCATAAGCAACCATTATTAAAACATTACAATTTTATTTTTTGTAATATAGTATTGAAAAACGAACTGTAGTTTAGTGACCATTGCACCTTTTAAGTGAAATGTGGTTTATGCTGCCATTATAAATACAAAACACTATGATAATAAATTAACATGTGAACAAATGGATGAAAGACAAAATTATGTTGACCCAGCTGTATGGCAGTTTCCAGTGAATGTTACTCTTTTGTGCTTTGGAACATACAAATTACTGCTTTCATATTGCCCATAGTTTGTTTTTGAAGGATATGTTCCTAGTGCTAAAAAATAGTACATTACCACGAAAATATTATTTATGGCACACACAAAAATTAAATCCTCTCTCTGTGGTTCAAGCAAGTGTGAAAGAAATTAAGTCAAAAAATAAAATTCTTGGAAACACTAAAAAAAAATTCCAAGCTTATAACATAGGCCCCAAAGTTGCAACAAAAATGCATATCATCTTTACAGAGTACACTGAATAAATTATCCTACTATATGGCAAAGCTGTTTGAAATAGTGGCATTTCTTAGCTCTCTCAAAGGAAGTACGTCCGATATTTTGCACATATATAAAAATTTCTTAAGTTCTAAATGACAGTACCGCAACTGTTAGTTTGATAACACTGCAGTTTTCCAGGCAAATGACTAAGTGCAATATTTAGTCTTTAATAATGTTCATTTTTTTAAAAAATGACAGGGTATAACAGATATTCTTACATATTAAAACTCAATGAAAATAGTGTTGTGGGACCTTCCCTTCCTGTAACATAGTTACCCAGCCAGCTGGGTAGTAGAAACCATATTATTTCTTTTCCATTGTTCAGGGGCATCCGACATCAATAGCAGCCGTCTCTCCAATTTCCATCTCGTAGAGTACTAAGAGAAGAAAGAGGCTTTGGAGGCTGAAGAAAACTGTTTTAAAAAATAAGCCACATTTCAGGTAAGAGAACAGTAAGACATGCATCAGTCACATATGTAATGAAGCTGGCCTTGTAGGTGTTCCCATATACACATGCATGTACACTCTTCCATGGCATATTTCCAGCTCTATGCTAATATATTATAAAATGGCATAACTCAGGACTTGGGGTGAAATCCTGACCATACTGAAGTCAATAGGAGTTTTGCTATTGACTTCAATGAGACCAGGATTTCAATTCTAAACTGTAGGAGGTGGTTCTGACCTGATGCAGGAACAATGTGGCTTTACACAAAATGTCAAACTGCCAATTCTTCTTTTCCTCCCTACCCCCACCAACTCCTCTCTTCACTCCAATGTTTTGCCCTGCTCATTCCATTCTTACCCACACAAGAAAAAAAGCTCACTTCTTGCTTTTCCGCTCTCCCCACTGTTCTCCCCCAGCCCATAAAAACTATTTCCTTCTCACATAATACCAGTAATAAAAGTCCTGCAAAGGAGGCCCTCTGTGATACCTGTGAAATCTCACCTCTTTCATTAGGTTCACACAGGTGGGACAGGCGAGGGATTTAGTAACAATTCTGTTGATGATGCACAAGATCAAACAGAACCTCCCTCCCTCTCCCTTAACTGTTTTGGCTCTGCAAGATTAATAGGATTAAAAAGCAGTGCAAATACATTTCTGTCACTAAAACAGTAGCTATGTCCCAATACAAACAGGCTGCAGAAAATAATTTCAGTTTAAAAGGGGAGGGGCATTCCCCCACATGAACTGTTGCACCCAACATGCATTTGAAAAAAACAAATCTGTGCATTCTAAAAATAGCACCTGTTTTTTTCCTGCCAATGGCAGCATAAGTATTGTCCTGGGGAGAGAAAGCCTTCCTGAAATTGACCTATTCCAAGTTTTAAAAACATATTATCAGAAAACAAAAGGTGGGAAACATTAGCACCATAATATAACAGCCACCTTAATTTTTATTATAAATTCCTTAGCAATTAACTATTTCCCAAACCTCCAAACACTACTGAGGATAGCTGTTTCAAATGATATTTAAAGAAAACCTGCCTGGGACAATTAGTTTGACACAGTATCCAACTCTGCTCCATCTGCTTCTTTAACAATTTCAGGAGGGCTACATTTTATACCCACCATATTTTGATTACATCACTTTGCTGAAATTAAATGGAGGGGCCGGGGTGAGGCTGGAAATGCTAGTGGATATGGTGATATGAAATCTGCCAAGAGAGCCACCAGCAGCCATCAACAGGCACTAGGGGGAGCCATAGCCAGCTCCAGTTCCCTGCTACTGCTTCTTGTAAAGCCAGTTTTCATCCTCTCAGGTCCTGGCTCTCTCCCTTCCCTGCTCCCCCTCTAGCCACAACTACTGCTGATTCTGCTGGCTCCTCTCCCCTCAGGAATCCTGGGCTGGAGGAGGGGGCAGCCTGCTGCAAGGAAGATGGAACCAGTAAGTAAACAGCAGCCACCAGTGCCGGTTCTTGCATTTCTCTGAAGACAGTGGCTCTAGTGGTTAAAAGTAGATTGAAACAGCAGCAGGAGCTCTCCCTATACCATTACTAGGAGGTGGAACAGGACTTCCATCAGTTTCCTTTTCTTTCATAACCCGTTTGGCTCCCCTCACACACTCTTCTCCCTCTCAGTGTCCAACCCCCTAGGATGCCATGCTCCCTCCTCGTTCCCACGCTTCAGCTTTAGGGCACCAGGCAGAAGATATGTCCCTTACACACAAGCAATGTCACCTGTGACTCTTCCTGGCAGTTTAAGCATTTCCAGCACCATAATTCCCAGCACAGTTGCAATAAGGCAGCAAAGAGGGTATGGAATTTAGGGTGAATTATGTGAACTATTCTTTTTTAATTAGGCATTGGGGTTAGGGAGAAGAAAGAGAAATAATTTATTTGGTGGGACTCAACCTTTAACTACCGAGGTGTACAGTTTAGCAACACCACATTACTTAACCTATCAGCACTATTAGAAAGGATGCAGAACTATTAAATGGCACTTTGTGTAATGAAACTAATCACTTAATCAGAATTCTCTCAAAGGAAAAATTACTGCCATAACTAACAGCCTGCTAGCAGCTTTCAAAGCATTTGCATTTTTTGTAAGCAGAAAAGAGCTGCTTTCATTTTCTCAAAAATGATGATTGTTTACATAAAACGTACTCGCTGTGAGAGGAAAAGCAAGCTAGCCAGCATCTTCTCCCAGAGGGGCTGAAAGGGAGAGCAGTTCAGCCAATTGCTCACTCCCCCAAAAGAGACGCCAGCAGGAAGGAGCTAGAAGGCTACCAGGCCAGCCCTTTGGGGTCCAATAAAGGGAAGATTCAGGGTACATGGGGCAGGTTATCTGCTTAGCAGGGATGGATAGGGAAGCTTGCTGGGTTTGGCGAGTTTCATCTGGTTCACTTTTATGTTTCAGATGAACCAGGGGAGTGCAGACAACTGAACCCACCGGAAAGATCTGGTGAAATTTGGGCAAACCCAGTTGGTTTCACACAATTCTACCCCAGTGGAGTATCTCTAAAGGTTACTATTAAAATCAATAAAATGTGGTGTGATGCTGGCAGACCAGGTGCCAGTTCATACGAAGGCCCCTGGGCCTCACTGACAAATGCATAGCTGGAAACCAGTCTGGCTCATCTGTGTTAGCATTGTTAAAATAGATGTTAAGTTTATAAGAATGTGTTTAAACTTGATGAAATGCTTGTAGGATGCTGCATGTATTGATCTCGCTTATAACGTCTGTACCCCAGGCCATAAAAGTTATATTGAGTGTTTGCACTGTAAACCTCTGTAACTGTGTAATTCACCAAACAGGAAAGAAGCATTAATTAATGTAAAGTGCAGGTCCTGCACACAACAAGGCCCACTGAAACCAAATGAGCCATTGTGAAACATCAAAGGACAAAGCCTTTGTTGATTGCCTCCTCCCCCCGCCCCGCCCATGAAGACCACAGGGGCAGAAACACTTCTCCCATCAGTTTAAATTCAGGGGGAAGGGCATACAAATTTGTGACTAGAAGGAACTGTATCACTCTGCTGTTTGGAATTTGGAGAGGGCAATATTTCTTAGCATAAGCAAGGGATCCCAAAGCTGCTTGAATTGGGTTAGCTCTAGAGGACATAGAAAGCTTGCATATTGCAGCAGTTTCTATTACTTTTGGAACCTAAGATTAACTCATTTGTGTGAGTATGTTTACATGCTTTAACCTTGTAAATAACTAATTTTT